AAAAATCCAGATTATCAAAGCAGTTAATCCAGATTATCTGCATTGAACTGGATTATATGAGTCTATAGGCCATAAAATCCATATCATCAAACCACTTAATACAGATTATCTGAATTGAACTGGATTATATGAGTCCACACTGCCATATAATCCAATTCAAAGCAGACGATCTGGATTTTATATGGCAGTGAAGAAGGGGCCTAAGAAAGGTTAGATATAAGTAAACATAGCTGTGCTAGAAATAGCAGAATGGAAAAGTCACTTGTCAAAAGAGGCTATTGTTTCCTTTGCAGGGCATCCTGTTCCTCTTTCCTTTTGGCTCCCTTGCGCTTCCTCTTCCTCTTTTCCTTCCTGTTTGGGGGCCCCTTGTTTCCTTTCTTGATGCCTCCCTGCTTCCGCGACCCCTTAATACAGCGCCTCACATTGTGGTGACCCCCAACCATAAAATTATTATGATTGTTACTTCCTAATTGTAATTGTGTTGCTGTTATGAATCATAATGTAAATATTTGAAATGCAGGATGTATTTTCATTCATTGGACCAAATTTGGCACAAATACCCAACCACAGCACTCCATGCCATCATGTCAGCCACATGACCTTGGAGGTGTCTATGGACAACACCGGCTCTTTGGCCTAGAAATTGAGCACCAACTCCCAGAGTTGAACACAACTGGACTTAATGTCAGGGGAAAACGTTTACCTTACCTTACCCAATATGCCCAAATTTGAATACTGGTGGGGTTGGAGGGAGAATTGATTATGTCATTTGGGAGTTGTAGTTGCTGGGATTTATAGTTCACCTACAATCAAAGAGCATTTTGAACTCCACCAATGAAGGAATTGGACCAAACTTGGCACACAGAACTCCCACGACTAACGAAAAATACTGGAAGGGTTTGGTGAGCATTGACCTTGGGTTTTGGAGTTGTAGTATTGCAGATGGATCTGGACCAGGGGCGGCTCAACCCATTACGCAAAGTAAGCATTTACAGTATAGTTGATTTTGCCCAGGGGCGCTGTTGAGGCGCTCTTGGGGGAAAATAGACCTTGACATATGCAAGTTGCAGTTACTGGGATGTATAGTTCACATACAATCAAAGAGCATTATGAACTCCACCAATGATGGAATTGAACCAAATATGGCATGCAGAACTCCCACGA